CCGCTGGCGGGTGGCGTGGGCGGGTAAAATGCGCAAGTAACCAGGTCGGAGCGAAGCTACTTTGACACACGCTCCCAGCCAAGTGCACCCTTTGCTGCCATCCAGAAGGACTTGGCCAGGATGTACGAATTGATCCTTGAGTTCTTGGGTTTTGTTGCCGACGGTGACGCTAAGGGTGGCGGTCTATCCGGCGGCTCTGTACTATGTAGGCGTTTAAATCATGCGTGTGATGCTTAGCAACGTCTCGGTTGCCTGTATTGCTTGGCTGGGAAGTAAAAAAGCCATCATCGTGTCGACTGTCAACTGGGCAGTAGCCATGATTGCTGCAGACTTGACAAATAACGAAGCGTTCCATCAGCGTCTTCTTATCTATCGCCATACATGATCTCTTTCCGAGGATTTGCCTGGGTACACCCTTCTAGCTTCTGGTGGGGTGCGGTATTCAGCCGCAATGCTGCCTGTTTTCTCTCTCACTGTAAGTAAGGTACGGCTGATGTATGTATGTATGTATGTATGTATGTATGTATGTATGTATGTATGTATGTGTGTATGTGTGTATGTATGTGTATGCAAGGTGGTTATCTTGAGGACCTACGTAAAAGGGGAGATGGGACGGAGGATAGCAATAAGCAAGGCAATAAATCGTCCGGTAATATCTTTTGTAAGAATATCCGTATAATGCTGTCCTGAAGATCTGGGCGTGCCAGTAGTTGTATCAGCTGCCGTATAGTAGGGCACTAAGATTGTCTATGCATACACCGCAACGCACTCTCCCAGCATCTTGATAGGTCTTTCCAGCGGCCAGCTATTACAGTAGGTGCACGCGGGCGGCTGAGTGATGGCCAGAACGACTCGCCCTCGTACGAGGCTAGGATGGAACGAAGTGTCTGCATCGCTTAATAAAGTGAGTAGCACATGGAAAGCGATAGGAGGGCGAATGTGCCAGAAGCGGCGGGAGTGAGTGAAAGGGCCTCTGCTTTGCGGAAAGTGCAAGTTGTGCTGGACAGATGGGCTGGAGGCGGCAAGGCGAATGGACACAACTTTATTTCCTCCTCCTTAGTATCAAACGGCCCCGGGCATACTCAGTGGCCAATTGACCACCTACGGCTCCCGTGACAGCAAGTGAACGCAGGCTCGCGTGTTGGGAAAACAAGAAGCGATGAGAATACGTCCCAACCGGTAACGACTCCACGGAACTCTACGCAAGACAAGACAGATACGGACAGATGTTGCGTGTTGTACCGACGGTACTGGCCAGCAACATGTGTACCCCCACAACGGATAATCTGTCATGGGGCGTTTATGTGACCAGGATTAGATTAGGGGATTTAACTATACACACCTCAAGATGTTACAACTTCTCCCTAGGCGCGGTTGGGTCATATGCCACACCATCCAATGTAGGTAGCACCAGGCTTCCCATAATCACTTCAAAGAAACTTCGATGATTCTCTTGGATCCCAATCAATACGACTTGAGTCTCATTCCGCCAACAACCTCCGACGAAACTCCTTGAGCACTTCATGAGCATTCCGTTCAAGATTACTTGAATTTATTTGACTGTACGCTCCAAACAAGGCAGTTCAGTCTCGACGCTACCGAGACGCAAACTGGCGACCTTTCAGTGTTCCTTCTATGACCGCAAGAAAAAGTAAAGCTAATAAAAAACTTTGGGGTAGGAGGGCCTTCCAGTATGCTATTCATTATTCGCATTACGATTAGGAGTGGTGAACACTGATGGGGTGGGGTTCGTATTCAAGTCCACCGCACACATACTGTCTTTGGAAGCATTCAAGTAGAGCGGAGACGCGCTTTTCAAGAAACAGTGGTAAAGTTTGCATCGGGAGCGAGAACAAAAAACTGTCATCGTACAGAAGTACGCGTCCGTAACGGTGGCCAAACGGCAGAGGCGCGGCCGATGCTTTGCATCGCCTTGTGCTGGCAAGGCTCCCTTGAAGCGTGCTGCGCTGGGTTACGGTGAAAACTGGAGGTGAAGCACGCTTGTTATTTTCCTTGTTCATTTGGCGTTCTTTCACCCTTTCCGTGCTCCACGAGAGAAATATTAGCTCACACTTTAACGAGAAATATTGAAGCTAGCGCAGCTGTACCCTAGCAGGCCTTTCCGAATGCAGGATTGAATTTACGTCAATAGGTTCCCTCAGCACACACATACTAGGTTTTTCGACGCAGGTGAATAACACTTCTGGCTTCAATGACAGTTACTGAGCAAGCCGTGGACGCGGTGCCCGACCCTTCTGATTGTATTCTTGACACCCTATTGGGGGCGTTCCCCGCAATCGCCTGGATGTAGGGTGTCTTGGATAGGGCCGTCATAACTCCCGGAGAATACTATCAAGCGGCGTTGGTGTCATGGCGACCGAAGATGTGAACAGCGAGATGACTTGAGTTAGCCTTGTAGCAGCGGTCTACATGGAGGACGGTGCTGACAGGCCGGTTCCCAATAAGGCTCCACCCTCGGGAGGCAGGCGCTTGCCAGGGCGTACGCCAAGTGGATTGCTTGGCAAGCCAGGCACCTTACAGCTAAACCAGAGCACAACACCGCAGCAGCAGGCGCTACCTGTAAAGCGCCGAGGCAGCTTCCAACAGCTTAAAAAAGCTGGGCTACATGCTGGACGCGACGGCGCGTCGTCCCATCTCGACTCGGACTCGTCTCCCTCCATTTTTGCAGTTGTCAAGAAAAGTACTCATTGGGAAAAATATGGAACAGTGCTTGTGCTGGTTGTGGCGGACGAACTTAGCAGCGACAAGGAGGCAGTCCTGCAGATGTTGTCTGCCGAGGTGAGAGCAAGGGCTGTCGGTGCGCGGGCGCGTCCCGGGGCGCGTTTCCTGACCGTTCTGCGTGCCATTTCTACCAGGGATACGATGACAATACAACAGACAACATTGAAGAGGCGTTGAAGCTGTTTGCGGAGAAGGAGGTGGGTCCTGATCATGTCCACATCCCAGGGCATGGACCGGACGCTTCGCATGCGGCTACTGCCAAAATCGCACATTTCCCGCCACGGCTGACCCTTCCATATTACCCCTTTTGAAACCATCATAATGCGAAACCCCCCTGGTCAACGCCTGGGATCTCCGCAGGTTTACCCAGACATTGTGATTATTGACTCAGACAACGAGCTAGTCGACACCCGACAGGTAATGGGTGAATGAGCCAGAGCGCAACGGACCCATAGGGCCCTAACCCCCTTCCTGCTTTGCCTTCCTGGTTATCTATATCCTTAGATAATGCCAGCCAGGCATTCGGCCACCGCCTCCGCCATTCCCTGCCTTTGCCTCCGCCGCAGCCTCGTTTCCCCCCTTCCCGAAACCTCCCTCCTCCCCCTCCCTCCTCCCCCTCCCTCCTCCCCCTCCCTCCGCCCCCTTACACCGCCCCCTTACACCGCCCCCTTACACCGCCCCCGTACACACACACCCTTCCCGTCCATCTCTGGTGATCTGCTTCATTCGCCAATAGATCGTCTTGACTCCCCTCCTTCCTCTTCACGAACCCCTTTTTCCACCCGCGTCCTCTTTGCACCAGTTTCCATGGCTAAGCAGATTTCCCCTCCTCCCCCCCCCGGTGTTATGCGTTGCACAAACCCCCCGACGGGTCCCATATATATCCCACCCTCCTTTTATTCCCTCCCCCCCCCCGCGCGCAGCTGATCCGTCAGCTGCAGTCCCTGAACCCCACAGTTGCCGTACTGGTCCTGGGCTCCCGGGGCGGCCCGCTGAGCGCGGTCCAGGCCCTCCAGTCGGGCGCTGCCGACTACATGATGAAGCCGCTCAACCTTGATGAGATGGTGGCTAGGGTGGAGCGGCACGTGCAGAGACAGGTGAGGAGAACAGAGGGGGGGGACGAGGTGAATCTGTGTGTGTATGTGTGTGTGTTCTTTGGGGGTAAGAGGAGGGGTAAGAGGGGGGATTGAGTATTATATGCATACCACGGCCAAAGGAAAACATTGTTCCGAGAGACGTGCAAAACAGTCAACTGCGAACTGCCTGGGGAGTTCAACGGAATAACGAAATTCGAGTGATGGTGTGTGTGTGGGGGGGAGAAGGGGGATACATTGGGAGAGGAGTGGAGGGGGGGAGGTGCGGGACGAAATACGTCATTTCCCCTTCCACCAGGTTTGTTTGGGAAAAGGTTGAGAGGGGTGGGAGGTTGAGAGGGAAGCGCAAGGAAGGAAGGAAAGGGGGAATGACGGAAATGCCATTCGCGGAATGATAGAGCTGCTGCTGCTGCTGCTGCTGCTGCTGCTGCTGCTGGTGGATCGACAAATGAATTTCTGGGTAGCAATTAAAAAATTCCCCCCGACCCGACCCGACCCGACCCGACCCCCCCCAAAAAACACAACCATGCCCATACGTGCAGCACTGCATCAAGCTGGAGATGGAGAAGGCGCTGGAGGACGCTAAGCAAATGATGCAGCAGCTCATGCCCGCCTCGCTGCTGGGAGATGTGGTGGGTGGGGGGAGAGGGGACGGTAACTGGGGTGAGGGGGGCACCAAGTGGGCCTGGGCGCCCCACACACACATACACACACATACACATACATACACACATACATACACACACATACACCCCAGTCACTCCGGTGGCTCTGCAAGCCGTTTCCTCGGGGTGGGTGGGGTTTGTCCCGCTGGCTTCGTACGACTTCAATTTTCCACGTTTCCATTTTCATGATCCTAACTTTTCTGGTTTTCTCCCCCCCCCTCGTTTTCCCCTCCACCCCGTGTGTGGCCCCCCCCCACCACCACCACCACCCAGATGCTCCGAAAGGAATCTTCCGTACAGTCGGGTCCCAAAGCCCCCGTGTGCCTGAACAGTGTCGCGGAGACGGACTTTGAGGATCAGATGTCCGAGCTGAGCGAGGAGAACCACCGACTGGGGCAGAAGGTGCAGGAGATGGAGAGGAAACTGGAACTCAAGGACAAGGTGGGGAAGGGGGGAGGGGGGGAGGAAAGGGGGGAAAAGAGGAGGGAAGAGGAGGGAACGGCGCCTCTCCGTTGCTGACTTTTTCTCTCTCTCTCTCCCCCATTTATGTCTTTTGCTTATTCGCCTCTAGCGGGAAGAATGCAACCGGTCTCGTCCAACCAACCAACCAACGAAACCCTTAAACCCAACAGCATTTCAAGCATTTCTTCTTTTGCCCCTCCCGCTCCCCCTCCCGCTCCCCGTCGGACCTGACGGCAATCGACCATCATTATTGTTATCCTCCATTATTAAAGAAGAGGGGCTTTTCCGTGTTGATTGTGTTGTTTAGCGTAATTACGCTAAGCAATACTATATAAAGCTGCTATCATAACCGCAGTCACCCCCTCTCTCTCC